TCACACTGGAGCACTTCGTTTACGCACTTTTAAACACATCTTCGATTTACACAATAATTTAGAAACACTTCGAGTTTCTAAATCCGTAAACTCGCAGACACAAGTATCATCACGTTGCAGACGTACTCGCCGTGATTTCCAGACAAAAATCAAAGGTGCCAATCAATCACTAAAAGAGTTAAAAACGCGTGAAACATTGCTGTTTCAAAAACCGCGTGAAAATTTGACTGTACGACGTTCACCGAAATAGAAACACAGTCGATCGCATGATGTCACTTCCAACTCAACGTTCGATCGAGAGTAACAGTTACGAGCGCGATTATCACCTCGCGCGTCGCATCGTCGGTCGTCTTCTTGTTGCGCGCTTTCGCGAACCGTTTCGCGAGCCGATTCGCCGGTATCGGGAACGTCCTGTCCTCTAAGGTTGGATTGCGCCATCGGCAACTGGAGCAACGATCCTCGCGACCCATCGCGCGCAAGGACGGTGCCATTTACGTCACGAAAACGGCTCGGGACGCGTGCGAGAATCCGAAGAAGAGATTCCATTCGCGGGCTGGTGCATCGATACACCAATTACCGCGAGTTTCGCCAGACAATCGGCAAACAGACTTTCCATTTCGACCGAGGATCACGCGATTTCTGAAAAAGAGACGCGTTCTCCGAGCTTTCTCCTTGTGGAACTGTTTCCTATCAAAACAACTGATAACGATGCAGATTCTGCAAAGCTATCCGATTAAACAGATTAAAACGTTCCGTGCCGCGTGAGCCGTTTTCGGTACACGGTGAAACTCATTTCTACGCCAAATGATAGTTCTCTCATCGACCAGTTTGCTGTTTTTGACGAGTATACTCGTCGTGACGCTGGATACTGCCATTTCTTCGTGACGAGTATATTCGTCGAAAATGTTAAGAATTATACTTCGATTACCCGAATTCGAAATTGATATTTGATCTCTTTTTATTTCCGATAAATTATTAATACAAAATTCATCGTTACCTCGAATATAGTCAAACATTTAAACAATAATGATATTCTTTATTGAATTATAGATTTTGTAAAAGCGGTATGTTTAAACAAAATATGAAGAGAATCAAGTATATACAGTGTAATTACAGTAACTTGCTCGCTTTTCAAAGAGATTGCAACAGCTAAACTGGTTACGAGGTAAAAAGGTACATTTTTTTATCATTTTTGTACCCTTTCATTACTGAATTAATTTATTTGTTGGTTATACCACAGAAATTATTTGTTAAACATTCTGTTGAAAAGTATTTTTGTTGGAAAATGCATTCTAATCAAAGTTAGACAAAAAAATAACGCGATTAATCATTGACGATTGACACTCGTTAATTATCATAATTAATTTATAACAATTTACGGTCATTGTAATAATATTAATTTAATTTATTGATCGTAATGATAAAAAATGTATTCGAGTCTGAAATATTTGACGATCGTATTGAAAACGTACGTAAGATTTAAAAGTAATTTATCAGTAAGGTTTCTAGATATTTCAGTAGCGTGTTCGTTGAAAATGTCTTCGATCTCTTCAATGTGCGGGAACAAATGCATTAATTTATCCACTGTGATTTGAAAACTGCATCGTTCCGATGCATCCAGCATGTGCGTCCCTGATCGATTAACACAGACGAACTCAGATAATTTTAGAACGCAGTCTTTTTCGTGTCACCTCGCATTGATAATTAATGTGTGTCCATCACCATAAAACGTCGGAACGGTTTTAACACGTCCGTCGGCATATGAAAAATTGATCGTTAATAACAGTCGCGTCTCATTTTCACGTTCAGAGCATCTTGCCGCGCGATCCTTCTTCTTTTTTTTTCTCGCCGGAGAATGGAAAGGCTGCGCGCGACTATGTAAACGATTATTATAGCAACAGTTGCATAGCGTGCGGTGGATGATGTCAACGGCAAGGTTCAATCAATGTGCATAATAAACGGATCCCCGGAGACGTTAATTTTTGGTTCGTTTTCGCGACACCTCGAGCACTCAGGGCCGTGAAAAAAATTGCTGATCTGTACCGCTATGTCCGCTCGGTTTCCGAACGTTCAATTTTCCTACCGACGTGTCCATTAATGCGTTATCAAATGGGTATTAATGTCAAAAGACAACTTTTGTTATGAAACAATCCTGCGGTATAATAGACGGGCATACAAAGGCTATTTTATTATGCGGCGTTGCGGCATTATTAACGGTTAGGATTTTATGCATTTATAGCTGTCATTGAATTTCTGCCTTTCTTTCGTTAGTTTTATACTGCCGGAGATATTTACGCGGAACAGTCAATGTATTTGGTTTTATAAAGGTCTTTTCTTTGAACTTAAATTAATAAATTAAATTATAATTATGTTGTCTGGTAAATTCTATTATAAATTTCCTAACCATTGGCGATTAATTGATTTTCAGAATATAAAATTTTTTAAACGGCAATGTCAGTTTCGATCGAGTAGTAAGAAATCTCATNTGCTCGCTTTTCAAAGAGATTGCAACAGCTAAACTGGTTACGAGGTAAAAAGGTACATTTTTTTATCATTTTTGTACCCTTTCATTACTGAATTAATTTATTTGTTGGTTATACCACAGAAATTATTTGTTAAACATTCTGTTGAAAAGTATTTTTGTTGGAAAATGCATTCTAATCAAAGTTAGACAAAAAAATAACGCGATTAATCATTGACGATTGACACTCGTTAATTATCATAATTAATTTATAACAATTTACGGTCATTGTAATAATATTAATTTAATTTATTGATCGTAATGATAAAAAATGTATTCGAGTCTGAAATATTTGACGATCGTATTGAAAACGTACGTAAGATTTAAAAGTAATTTATCAGTAAGGTTTCTAGATATTTCAGTAGCGTGTTCGTTGAAAATGTCTTCGATCTCTTCAATGTGCGGGAACAAATGCATTAATTTATCCACTGTGATTTGAAAACTGCATCGTTCCGATGCATCCAGCATGTGCGTCCCTGATCGATTAACACAGACGAACTCAGATAATTTTAGAACGCAGTCTTTTTCGTGTCACCTCGCATTGATAATTAATGTGTGTCCATCACCATAAAACGTCGGAACGGTTTTAACACGTCCGTCGGCATATGAAAAATTGATCGTTAATAACAGTCGCGTCTCATTTTCACGTTCAGAGCATCTTGCCGCGCGATCCTTCTTCTTTTTTTTTCTCGCCGGAGAATGGAAAGGCTGCGCGCGACTATGTAAACGATTATTATAGCAACAGTTGCATAGCGTGCGGTGGATGATGTCAACGGCAAGGTTCAATCAATGTGCATAATAAACGGATCCCCGGAGACGTTAATTTTTGGTTCGTTTTCGCGACACCTCGAGCACTCAGGGCCGTGAAAAAAATTGCTGATCTGTACCGCTATGTCCGCTCGGTTTCCGAACGTTCAATTTTCCTACCGACGTGTCCATTAATGCGTTATCAAATGGGTATTAATGTCAAAAGACAACTTTTGTTATGAAACAATCCTGCGGTATAATAGACGGGCATACAAAGGCTATTTTATTATGCGGCGTTGCGGCATTATTAACGGTTAGGATTTTATGCATTTATAGCTGTCATTGAATTTNACTTTTGTTATGAAACAATCCTGCGGTATAATAGACGGGCATACAAAGGCTATTTTATTATGCGGCGTTGCGGCATTATTAACGGTTAGGATTTTATGCATTTATAGCTGTCATTGAATTTCTGCCTTTCTTTCGTTAGTTTTATACTGCCGGAGATATTTACGCGGAACAGTCAATGTATTTGGTTTTATAAAGGTCTTTTCTTTGAACTTAAATTAATAAATTAAATTATAATTATGTTGTCTGGTAAATTCTATTATAAATTTCCTAACCATTGGCGATTAATTGATTTTCAGAATATAAAATTTTTTAAACGGCAATGTCAGTTTCGATCGAGTAGTAAGNAGTAAGAAATCTCATTATCAGTAATATAATATAGTAATATGTCTTGGAATTATTATTTAACATTTGGAAGACAAAGTTCGGGTCTATTTAGATCCAAAATAGAAATACATATTATAGTTTGACCATCTGATTTTTCACAATTTATTTAAAATACATAGAAAATTTATATAACAATTAACGTGTCTCTAGAGGGTGTACCTTAAATAATATCTTGAATAAATAAATAACATTACTAAATAATCCTAAGCATAGTCGGTTATATTTTTGTCAAACAAACTTGTCAACCGTTTTAAAATTCCTTTTTGATATAATATAACAATTTTGAATCCTATTGAACAACTTCTAAAATAAAAATAAAAATAATTGTAACTGAATAATTTTGTAATTTGTAACATGCTGCTAAAATTTATTAATGTCTTTGACGTTAGCACGAATAATTGTACAAAAAATATAGCTTATGGTCTATAATAAAATTGAATAATAAATTAGCAGAATATTTAAAGTGAAAATAAAATTGAATAATGAATTAGCAGAATATTTAAAGTTGAGAAATGGTTTAGGTATGAATGAAACATGGCTGGACGCATATTACAACTGGCTCTCCTAATTCTTTCAGAATGCCCGAAACAGAAAACATCGCCAGGAAGAGAGGTCGTCTGTTATACTTCCGTTTCGGACGTCGAACAACTGACCAATGCAGTCTGCAGGTGCACCACGCTGGTGCATCAAGGATACGACGTGCGAAATCTCTCGACTTCCGGTAAGTTCTTGCGGTATATTCAATTCGGAATAGTGATCAATAACAGTACGTAACAGGCTCCTGATGGCTTTTAACGGAAAATGATACTCGTTTAGCACAAACGATTATGTCATTCGATTTCTTATTCGTTTACGATCGGATGCGCGGGAAAATGATTACCGGATTACAGGGATACGAGGAGGCAAGTATTCATGGAAACTATAATGATACAAAATTGAGGAGCATCAATCAAGTTTCGCGATGGAATTATGGTTTTAATAATTCATATCGTTGTATTTACACCGGAGGCAATTTACAGTGGTATTTACATTGTTCATCGGACTTTATTAGCGGCATGCGAAACATTTTTGCGGCTTAGTCACATTGTAACATTAGGCGGAATGATTAAATCATTGAGGAAATGAAAAAAAGTTGAACAAGGTTTGTCTTCGTGAAAAAAAGACAATGAACGGATTAACAAGGCACGATTTGTGAATAGTAGATCTTAATGATTTAATTGATTTAATGATCCACAATTACTATTTTCTGAAATGCAAAATTTTAGAATGTTATAGTAACTGCATAACGATATGGTGGAAGTATAATTTGAAATAATAATAATAGTTGAGTCTATTCTTCGTTTTGTCTGCTGTTAGAGATAACAGTATTCAAATATTTTCATAGTGAGCACAGTTACTGGTGTAAGGAATGATTGCATAAACACTGCATCCATAGAGATGCAACCACATCCTTGAACTTGCAACAGGATATCGAAACCTAACCGCAACGTATGTTCTTACGATCAGTCGTTTGTTATACTATACTCGAACAATCTTACTCTCACTTTCAGTCTATTATGCGCGATCTATTTATATATAATCATCGTCCTTTGACAACTAAAATTGAACTATGCTCATTCACAAATCGAGCATTAGATCTGTAGAATTATTTAACGGTTTTGCTACTTAGAATTTCTTGTAGCAACTTTTATATTTCTCGACTGTGTCAATGACTACGCGTAATTATGTCACCAACTTCCAGTCGCGAAAACTATCTTTATCATGATGATTAATGGACTGTCGTCACCGATTCGATTAATATCAAACGAGTTTCAGTGATATTTTGAAATGGCTAAATACTTCGACGGCTGTAAAGACGTGTTTCAATTGAGGATTACTGTCAACTTTGTGGCAAACACGATTGCCTTTCAATTACATCAATGCAAATTGCAAGCGAATAACAAAAGAACATTTACGATTCGTATTGCATAACATTGCCAGAAAAGTTCATAACGATTTTACACAGTTCGCTGAGAATTCAGAGAATTGGGCTAAGAGTTAAAAATACTAAAAAAAAATATTCGTCTATGGAGCATGCTATTATGTGACATCGTTTATTTTTAGAATAACTGGACTGGATTTCGTGCTTCAATTATTATACAAATATTGTTACATTGTTTCCAGTCTAAACGATTAAGGATGAAGATAACAGTTTGTTGCCGGCGATGTAAAATATTTTTATTCGGCATAATAATCTCGGATGATAATAATAATGTTAATAACACAGAAATGGCTAAAGAGGAAAAATGAGAAGAAACTTTCACATAACATAAAGTTCCTCTAAAATTCATACGCAACAACGTAACAATAGTACCTTCCATACAAAATCCACTTGTTGCAACAATTCATCTTCATGAGCAGCTGAATTTGTGCAACATTATCCACTTTCCCAATACGTCTTTGTCCATTCATTCACATTTTCAACACTGTTGCTATTCACACCCTGCCAATCTCTTTATCTCTAGCATCGTGGTTTTGCAAATCTAAACAATATTTTTCATGCGTCAAAATGAAATTTGGTATAAACTGAAATACTTCGATTGGTAATAAAATTACTGGTGAGAGTATTAAAAATAAAATAATTTTCCAATCGACACCAAACCTATCGAGGTGGTTAAAATTACCGGTTTTGCATGTTTTGTTGCAAGCTAAACTTGCTGGAATTATAAGGACCTTTCCATAGAAAATGATTGAATAAATTTCTTAATCCAAGCATTCAGTGGAATAAAAATGACGGAAGATCCAAATACTTCAGTCTTTTCGTTGTTAAAAAACCATACACATTGATTACTTTTAAAGTTCAGTGGTTTTACCGTTAAATAATACAAATTAGGATAGTTGAATTTTCTTCCCACCAATCTTAGAGTAATAAATAGACTACAGATTTTTTAGACAGCTACATACTTCATTTATTTATTTATTTTCTTGATCATTTAAACGAGATCAAATTAATACAGCAACATTTAAAAATTTTTTTCAATGTATTTAATGTTTTGCATTTCGTCTACTTACGTCTGCTGTCTAGTAATAACCATAATTCCCGGCTGAAATTGACAGAAATAAGAATTGAATTTTCTCCACAACAATAGACAAACAATCTGAAATAAATTACTCGCAACGTACGTCTGCTGAGAAAATCACGGTGCAAGGTGTTAACGCGACAATGTTGTCGCGATTGTTAACGAAAACCGAACCCGTGAACAACGTGCTGCGATTTCACCGTCGTAAACCGTAGCACTTCTCCCGCGTGGTGCGCACGAACGCAATAAAAGTGTTCGTTATTACGCGTGTCATTAAAAACAACTGGTTGTGCAAGGGAACAAATTTCCCGGCAAAGAGAAGCCAGTTTCGAAACATCGTCGGAATCGATTCGTTATGCATAAGAGAGAGGCGGGCCCGGCTCCGGCCCGGCCCGGCCCGGTTCGACTGATTACGGTATGTCACGCGTAAAATTCGATGTTCGCCGTACTCGCTTCGGATCACCGGATCGTGGAGGCCCAGACGTGGACAAAAAGACGAGAGAAATGCCGAGACGAGGACAGATGCGCCTACGTGTGCCGTGTTTGTGACATAATCGCGCGAAAACGAGCTCCGGGCCGATTCCTCTTTTTTCCCGCCCTCATTTCGCGTCGTGGCACCAGTTTTCGAGAAAAAAGCGAAGACTGATATCTGATCAAAAGTAAGCCAATGGGGTACGTTGAACTGATTTATCGGTGACTTCGAACAGTGGTAGTTTTCTCCAACTTGCTCACATTTTGTAACTTCGTACAATTTGCATGGAAATTTTAACTTAATTTCATAAATATTAATAATTATTAATTTAGCACAAGCACAGTTGGCCTAGTAGAGCCGGTTACCGTGCTTGTATTAATAACTCTCCCAATTTTCAATAAAATTACTTATAAAAGTTTGTGTTAGTACTTGAAGCACGTATAAATACACGTGCAAAATTTTAACTCACTAAGAAATTAATTCTAGATTCTGTCCAGAAAACGTTCGTCTGAAATGAAATACCTTTTGAAGCAAAATACAATCTAAAATATCATAAAAAGTATTTAAAAATTAAAAAGGGAATGCGTATTCTGTATAAACAATCACAGTATAAATATAATCCGTGTACGAAATAATTAAAGTTTTATCCTTGAACCTCCATAATTTCCATTAAGAACAAAATTTTGCCATTTTTCTAAATCTGATTCGAAGCAGTAAATAATATCGAATCCTATGAAATAATTCGCTGATTGAACGATAGTTACAAATAGTATTAAAATTGGTCTCAAAAATGTTATTAAAAATGGTATTAAAATAAAGATAGCTGAAAATGGTACTCGAATTACCATTTTCGAATAAAGAGAGATCACGTCTTCTAGAAAAGTGACCAACAGATAATCCAGATATTTGCAAGAGTAATAGGAAGGCGAGAGGTTAAACGGATTCGATACACTTTCATAAGGCGGTTCCGAAAAAAACGAGCTTGTTTTTCAACCGATGGCCAAATTCGAGCATAGGTGTGGCTAATGATCCGCCACCGCAGTCGAAAGTGGTTCCTACAGATGATCCAGATGCGAGGCAACAGCGAGAACGATCGCTTTCCCTTGCTCGCGCCTAAATCGTATTTCGCTGTAGTGACCATTCGCCTAACGTCTAGATCGAATTTCGCCATTGGCAGTGAACGTCCACGAAAATGGCTTGATCTGATTTCACATTTTTTTTCGAGCGGCTAGCAGGCCGGTTCTCGTTGACTGTCAAGGGTGTTCAGTGTGGTAATTGCGAATGTCGCGGCAGAGAAATCTCGGGTGTTTCAGTTGGCGAATTCCACGTGATGTATCCTTGAACCGAAATAATTACCTGCAGTCGAAATTTTGTGGAAAGATACGCAACGATCTGATCGTCGGAGACGCAGATTTGGCGTAAACCTGTTCTGCTGCGTGCCATTTACAGACGTAACAGCAGAAGAACGTGTTGCGTGCAATGCAATCCGCTGCACGGTCGGATTATGCACTTTTGCCGCGCAATCACATTTTCGTGTTTCACGGCACTAAAAGGTTAAAAGAACTTAGAGATGATAATTAGAGGTAATTGGTTGGAATGCTTGCCGAGTCAACAGCTCGAACTTATTAAACTTTGTAATTTACAGGCATGAAGCATCAGATCAGGAATTCCTGATAACCGAAGTGTAAATTTTCTTGTAAAATAAAAGATCTCTTCATTAGTCGCAAGATCCAGGAACAGCATATCTATATGCTTCGTTTCTTAACAGTTTTAATAGTTTCAAATTGTTTAAATGTCTTTGCTATGTTGCATTAGAACTATCCATTTTTGTCTAAAATTGAATAAAATCCACAGTCTACTAATAATCGAACTGCAGATTTTGATTAGAGATTTCTGCACCAATTGTTGGGTAAATATTTTCATTCCTGCATCTTATTTTGATAATTCTAAACGTATTCGTAATTTTACGCTGCATTCTTGATAGTCACACTTTAACATTCCTTATCAGAGTATAATGATGTAAATGCTAAACTAAATAATGAAGATAGAAATGTTGACATTTTTGCTACTAAAAGCCTATCAAAAAGCTATGTAATAATTGCGTCACATCCGAAAATAGTTCATTAACTTTACCACTAAATAAATTGTCAGATTTACATTAAACTGGAGCAATAGTTGATTTAGGAATGAAAGTATGATTGCTACTAAAAAATTGATCGATCAATCAATAGTCTCATAGACTGGTCAAGCACCATTGGGTATGAAAAAGTATCGAGCTTAATTCGAAAGAAGTGAGGCGTGAATCTTCCTAATCGAAGCGTCTTCCAAAGACGTCCAGTTAATTGCTTAATTAGCGAGGCCTTATTTGAATCAGGTTGTTTCCAGTTGGAAAAGTGGACACCATTTCCTGCCTAATTTCACGAACTCGCGTGCAATTAAGAAGTCAATAAATCTGATGGAACCGCAGTGATATACAACCACTAATAGAAAATAATGCTTTGTAATTTTTCGTAATGATCGCTGTCGCGGCCAATTACGCGGATGCGTGAAAGTTCATGATTAATTGTACGAAGACTGTGATTTCGTTTCACCAAACGGCTTCTTGTCTCTTGTCGACTGCGTCGCGGGATTGACAATCACGTGGAAAGGAAGGCGGAACTACTTAGGTGCACTTTTTTTCCAGCGGACCGTTGCTATCCTGAATTTTACGTCGCGGTTCAGTTAAAAATAAGGAAAAATGACGCATTTTTTGTTGCTGCTCTTCCAATTCTAAGTAGACTAAGACAAATTAAAATGGAATAGAATTAATTAGCAGGCGTTATTAACAGACTGCAGATTTTATGCATTTATGGTGATATATAAAATGGTGAAATGACTCAAAGAAATTAAGAACGTTGATGTATTCGTTTCAAGCTATTAAAATTATTTAAGAAAGAAAAAGAACCATGTCTGTCTTCCATGTCTCGCAATTGACGTAGACAATTTTTATTTCGCATAAAGATCCGCAGTCTAGTTATTAAATAACAAGTTGTTACATATTTAGGAAATGAGTGTAACATACGTACAGTCACTAAGATGGACCGATTGCATTTTAATAAATCGTTGCAAGCTGTAGATGATTGTCTAAGCAAATACCTTTGTGCAGATTTCGACGATTTCCGGAAGTCACTGAAAGAGATCAAGCCACCTCTTCAATTCGTGATTTCCGTCGCTGATCCTGCGAAGACGTTGAACACTTCCGGCACCGTACGTCGGGAAACCGCCGCTCGTCTGCTTGAAATCTTAAAAGACGTAATTACAATCTTTTTATTACTATGATATCGCTAGACCGAGGATTTCATACATTCAAAACTTCTACAATTAAATAAACAGAATAGAATAACATCTAACAAATTTTAGCAACATCTTCATTTTAAGTCCATAAAATAAACATTATATGATTTTAATCGTTATAAATTACACCAGAAGAAGTAATGTTTGTAAAAGAAACACGTCTTAAATATCACTTATAATTTTTAGTCTGAGAATCTTTGTGCATACATTGCATATGTGCGAAGTGAATGCTATAAAACGTGTACGTCGGCAAGAATTCATTTTATTGTCCTTTTTCGATGCAAGAAAATTCTCGCTTCTTCAGATTTCTATAAAATGATCAATGAAAATGAAAAATATAGAGATCTGCAGTCTCCTTATATTTTTCATTGTTTCACACTTCGCTTATGCTGTCGTACTTCCATTATCATTTTCCTAGATAACATATTTGTTCGGTGAGTACGTTAATATTTGGTTGTCCGGAAAATAATTTTACTTGAAACGAAATGCTTAATTTATAGGTCGATGGATTAGAATTGAACGCGACAGCAGGCACGAAGGATCGATTGGTGGACTTCGTGAAGAGCTTGAAGGACGGACTAACGAATGCATCCCTGGACAGAAGGATCTTCCTTGTTCTACCAACGAACCCGGAGGATCTGGCGAAACAATTCGATCTGAAGCGACTCTCGAAGTAAGTGCAACTTCATCTCTGTCGAAGACGCGCGAAACCGCTGACTATTCCGAAGAATGTCTGCGAGACACGTAACAGCCATCGGCTGAACTGTTCCATGAATTATTGACTGAGAATGGACGTGCAGACAATTCAGCAAAAACTACTCATCCATGTACGGTCTATCTGCTTAACCTTGTGCCAATTGTAGACTCGGTAGCGAGTCAGGAATGCCGCAACGATTCGATGCACCAGTTGACTGATCGATTGTTCGCGGATCGACGCACCTTCCAATTAGCGGATCATTCGGCGAACACTGTCGTCGAACCGTTCGGTATTTTTCATCGAATATGGATGAGCATCGGGGTGGAAGGGGGGCAGGGAACGCTCCTGAATTACGAATGAGAACGAAAGCTGTCATCCGACGGGATGACAGGAGCGTGAGTTGCACAATGCCATTCGATTCGGATTCGACGGGATTTAGTGGCGATATAGCGCGATATCGAAGGATCGCTGGGTAACTGAGTTCCTTGCTGAATTACAGAACGAAATCTGAATGGACTGCCGAATTAAACGTCGACTTCCCTAATTGGCGAAAATGTCTCTTCGTGTTGATTTTAATTTATAAATTGTAGCGATCTTCGAGAGATCATTGCTCCCAGACTTACTGTTTTCTTCCTAAATATTTTTAATTAGATTAGAAAAGATATGAATGATCGTCATTTGCAACAGAAGTGAGGAAGAAACTGGAACGCAAAAACATTTCATTGTAATTAGATACTAAACGATCATCAGTTCTTAGTGGTCACTCTTGATGATATATATCTTTGCGAATTAAGCGAATTCCTACGCGATAATTTTAGGTATGCAGTCAGACATGAAAATACTCGTACCAAATAAATGCAGTTCATGTCCTGTATGCGTTGTAGACAAGTATATCACGTCACGTGAACGAGGGAGAACAGAAACGCGGAGAACTATGCGAGCAATTTAGCGTGGCTTCGTGAACCATTTTTCTTAGTTATGCCATGACACTCGCCGCGATAAGTGTGTCAAGAGTAAATCCGAATCATGATACCTACGATTCCTGTCATGCATGCGTTGTATTCGGAGCATTTGATCGAATATGAATGAGCCTAGAGCGTGCAGGGCTGTCGCGTACGACATCAAAAGGATCTGGAACAGCTCGCGATCATTCTTTTCGTGTAACAACAGGTTCCATGCAACCGATTACACTGTTTCCCGTCCAAACACGTGTGATTCACGAGTCAAACAAGTTTGTTATTGACCGGCTGTCATTCTTCGTCGCATGCATCGTACACGTTCGACGGAAATTTTTCTAGTTTCTCGTGTTTGTCGCCAGGTACGTGGATCTATTTACGATCTCCACGCATTACTTGGTCCAACCGGACGGCGACTATCATACGTTCCATCCGTCGCGATTGATGGGACTGTTCGACACGTTCAACGCGGACAGCTTGATCGATTTTCTGACTGGACTTGGCGCACCTAAGAGAAAAATCTTGGTATCGGTGCCGGCGAGCGCTTACAAGTTTACTTTGAAGGATCCGGATAACAATGCGCCGGGATCTGATGCCGAGGAAAAGCAGCCCGCTGTCATCGATCGGAAACAGGTAAAATGATTCCGGTCCGCGAAACAAAAATTTCTTAGCTTCTTTTGTACCTATTAGATAAATATAGTTTTTTGTGTGTTAACTGGAGATAAATAAGTAAGATAATAAATAAATAAGTATAAAATAATAAGGAAGAGATAAATTAATTATTCCACAGTCTCTTCCAAATGCATCAGTGTATTTTTATAACATTTAAACGTGTGTAAAAAACTTTAATGCAACCATTTTGCTGGATATTTCTAAATTTCTTTTAAAAATCAAAGTTTTTAGGAAGACAGTTTAATGCAATTTTTGAGATTGAAACTTCAATGTTTCATCAAAGTTGATATAATCTGTAAGAAATGAAATCTAAAAGAAATGCAATTAAATAAATACACAAAATTAGAATAAAAATTTCGATTCTAACACCTTTGCTTTAATTGAGATCGTTAATGGCAAAAATGTCGGAGCTGCTAAAAGTTAATTAGAAAATATCGTGGGCATGTTTCCACCGTTCTCAATTTTTGTTTTAAGTTTTGCAATTCGATGAGCAACGGCGAGTGGACAGTCGAGCGAGACGAAGACCTCACAGCACCTTATGCATTCAAGAATAAGACGTGGATCGCTCACGAAGACAAACTTTCGATTACTATTAAGGTTCGGCGGATTCTGCTTTGTCTACGTTTTATGATCGTTTAACTTTTGCCGAAGTAATGCAAGTTAATTCAATTTTTAGGGAAAATATGTGCTGCTTCGCGAGCTACCAGGACTCGCCATACACAACATCGAAAACGACTTCGAAACGGACTGCGGGAAACCTCTAACTCACGAAATTCATCATTCGTTCACCGACTTCAAGAGGAAGTCGAGGGCTGCTGTCTTGAGCTCTTTGGAAGACGATTTGCATGTAAATAAAAATTGTTATGAAGACGATAAAGCTCGTTTGAAAACAATCAGTCGTTAACTACGATTTCCTCTTTATTGGAAGACAGTACTATAGCAAAAGAGACTCCTGTCCGTTAGAAAAAAATTTGATTTCTCTGAGATATTACTTCAATTATAATTCGATTACGCTTTATGCTCGTAGTTCAGCTATATTATATTTTTATTGTTAGATAGGAAAAGTAAAATCTAGGCCGGTACAATATCACTCGCATGAACCGTAAGCTTGGTGAATGTCTCGTTAGATGGCAACACGTTCTCGTTCCCAATTTCAATTTAAACTCTCCTAATCTAAATCTTGATGAATATGTATGAAGCTACTTTTACTTCATACTTACGTATCATTCTGAGACATCTAGAAAGTTTGGAAGCACTTCTTCCTTAGTAATTACGTGCCGGTAGCATGAAGAACTATTTTAATTTGCAGCAAACACAATTAACTTATCCAACCAAAGTTAAGTCATCCGAATTTCGCGTGGTCCGCGTGGTGGACACAGAAGGACACATAAGAGCAGTTCGTGAAAACACTCAGACTGAATTCACCTGCTCGAGACAGGGCTACTTCGTTCATCCGAAGAGTTGCAACAGGTACTTGGGAATTTTTTCAATGAATATAATGACGACTATATCAACGTTAGACTACGGTAGATCCACAGATCTTTGGGCTTCAAGCAAACAATGTAGACAATCCTTCTTGTCTATAAAGATCTGTAGTTTGTTCATAAGTATCATCATCACATAACACGGTAAAATTCCACGATATATTCTGTGTATTAAATTAATAACGACAAATTTTTCCGCAGATTCTACCGATGCGTCAAATTCAATCAAGAAGTGGAAGACTACTCGGTCTTCGAGTTCGACTGTCCAGCAGGACTATCTTTCGACGAGCGCACAGAAGTTTGCGTCTGGCCAGGATCGCTACCTCAAGGATCTCCATGTCCAGGAAGCAGCGAGATTGCTCCCACAACTCGCATAACGTTCGAGTGTCCTTCCACTCCAGGATACTATGCGAACCCGCAGAATCCTCGCTGGTTCTTCGCTTGCATGGACCTAGGTTCTTACATCTGTCATTAACTAAATCATCACAGCTGCGCGAATTAAGTTCAACATTTAATTTGTTCAACGTTGTAATTCTAGGAGGCCCAGAGATGATGGCATACGAGTTCCGTTGTCCATACGGATTGATCTTCGACGAGCACAAACTGATCTGCGAGTGGCCATGGCTGGTACCAGGATACACTGGTGGCGAATATGCAAGCACAGTATACGATAACAGAGGCAGTACACAAAGTAGTGGCGGATACTACACCGGTTCATTGCCTCATGGTGGCCAAGGTGGAGTGTATACAGGAACAACTGCTGGTGTTGGGTATACAGGATCTGCGGGGACTGGAGGATACTCAGGACACTCAGGATTCTCTGGAGCAGCTGGTGTTGGTTATACAGGAAGTGGGGGATACACAGGTGCAGCAGGTACTGGAGGATATTCGGGAGCAACGGGAAGTGGAGGATATTCAGGATCTGCGGGAGCTGGAGGACATGCAGGAGTAACAGGAAGTGGAGGATATTCTGGAGCAACAGGCAGTAGAGGATATTCAGGAGGAGTAGGAACTGGAGGATATTCAGGAGGTGCGGGAAGTGGAGGATACACGGGTGCAGCAGGTAGTGGAGGATATTCGGGAGCAACAGGAAGTGGAGGATATTCAGGATCTGCGGGAGCTGGAGGACATGCAGGAGCAACAGGAAGTGGAGGATATTCGGGACCTGCGGGAGCTGGAGGACATGCAGGAGTAACAGGAAGTGGAGGATATTCTGGAGCAACAGGAAGTGGAGGATATTCTGGAGCAACAGGAAGTGGAGGATATTCAGGATCTGTGGGAGCTGGAGGACATGCAGGAGTAACAGGAAGTGGAGGATATTCGGGACCTGCGGGAGCTGGAGGACATGCAGGAGTAACAGGAAGTGGAGGATATTCTGGAGCAACAGGCAGTGGAGGATATTCAGGAGGAGCAGGAAGTGGAGGATATTCAGGAGGAGCAGGAAGTGGAGGATATTCAGGAGCAACAGGAAGTGGAGCGTATTCAGGATCTACGGGAGCTGGAGGACACGCAGGAGCAACAGGAACTGGAGGATATTCAGGACCTGCAGGAGCTGGAGGACACACAGGAACAACAGTAACTGGAGGATACTCTGGAGCAACAGGCAGTGGTGGATATTCTGGAGGAGCAGGAACTGGAGGATATTCAGGACCTGCAGGAGCTGGAGGACACGCAGGAACAACAGGAAGCGGAGGATATTCTGGAGGAGCAGGAACTGGAGGATATTCAGGATCTGCAGGAGCTGGAGGACACGTAGGAACATCAGTAACTGGAGGATACTCTGGAGCAACAGGCAGTGGTGGATATCCAGGATCAGCGGGAGCTGGAGGCCACTTAGGACAGTCAGGATTCTCTGGAGCTGGTGGATACACAGGATCAACCATTGGTGGTCATGGATCTTCATTCGGTCAGGAATCGACTGGATACACTGGAACAACTGGATATGTTGGATCGAAAGGCATTGGAATTGGAGGGAGCTACTCTGGAACTACTCCGGGTGGTTACAGTGGGTCTGGTGGAATCTACGGAGGCTCAACTGGTACAGGATACACTGGTTATTCTGGATCAACGAATGAACACACTGGATCGGACTTGGAGTACACTGGAGCAACTGGCACTGGCAAAGTGTCTGTTGGTTCAGGTTATGCTGGTAAGGGAACCACTGTGCATTCTGGGACTAGCGGAATTTATAGTGGATCAGCTGGCACTGGTTATACAAGATCAGATCAATTTGGACAATCTGGATACACTGGTGGTGTCACAACTACTGGAGGATATGAAGAATCTACTAGCGGAGGATATGCCGGATCGACAGGCAATGTCCATGGTGGACCTGGTGGTGTAGGATTTGAAGGATCTACTGGAGGATATTCTGGAGCAACAGGTACTGTTCATGGTGGAGCTGGAACTGGAGGCTATAAAGGATCCATTGGTGGAGGATATGGTGGATCCACTGGAACAGGATATTCTGGATCAACTACTACCATCCATGGTGGAGCTGGAGGGTATAAGGGAACCATTGGTGGAGGATCGGGAGGTGTAACTATTGGAGGATATCCTGGATCAACAGTTACCATTCATGGTGGAGCTGGAGGGTATGAAGGAACCGTTGGTGGAGGTGCTGGAGGAGTTACTGGCGGAGGATATGCTGGATCAACCATTCATGGTGGAGCTGGAGGGTACGAAGGAACCGTTGGTGGAGGTGCTGGAGGAGTTACTGGCGGAGGATATGCTGGATCAACCATTCATGGTGGAGCTGGAGGGTACGAAGGAACCGTTGGTGGAGGTGCTGGAGGAGTTACTGGCGGAGGATATGGAGGATCAANTGGAGGATATGAAGAATCTACTAGCGGAGGATATGCCGGATCGACAGGCAATGTCCATGGTGGACCTGGTGGTGTAGGATTTGAAGGATCTACTGGAGGATATTCTGGAGCAACAGGTACTGTTCATGGTGGAGCTGGAACTGGAGGCTATAAAGGATCCATTGGTGGAGGATATGGTGGATCCACTGGAACAGGATATTCTGGATCAACTACTACCATCCATGGTGGAGCTGGAGGGTATAAGGGAACCATTGGTGGAGGATCGGGAGGTGTAACTATTGGAGGATATCCTGGATCAACAGTTACCATTCATGGTGGAGCTGGAGGGTATGAAGGAACCGTTGGTGGAGGTGCTGGAGGAGTTACTGGCGGAGGATATGCTGGATCAACCATTCATGGTGGAGCTGGAGGGTACGAAGGAACCGTTGGTGGAGGTGCTGGAGGAGTTACTGGCGGAGGATATGCTGGATCAACCATTCATGGTGGAGCTGGAGGGTACGAAGGAACCGTTGGTGGAGGTGCTGGAGGAGTTACTGGCGGAGGATATGCTGGATCAACCATTCATGGTGGAGCTGGAGGGTACGAAGGAACCGTTGGTGGAGGTGCTGGAGGAGTTACTGGCGGAGGATATGCTGGATCAACCATTCATGGTGGAGCTGGAGGGTACGAAGGAACCATTGGTGGAGGTGCTGGAGGAGTTACTAGCGGAGGATACGGAGGATCCACTGGTGGAGGATCCACTGGAGGAAAAGACATTGTCCATGGTGGATCAGGAGCAGGAGGATACGAAGGAACCGGTGGATATACTGGATCAACAAGCACTCATATCGGATCCGGTGGATTCACTAGTGGCGGATATGCAGGATCATCGACTGGCGCACATGGCGGTATCGGTTATGCTGGGACTACAGCTGGAGGATACGAAGGGGGAACTAGTGGGGGTCATGCTGGCGGAATCGGAACAGGATTTTCAACAGGAAGTTACGCAACTTCAGGAATCAAAGGCGGACAGACCGGTTCCTCTAGCGTTCAGTTCACCGTACCAGGAACTCAATACACTGGATCCAATTTTGGAGGCTCTCAGACTGGAACTGGCCAAACTATTATTTATGGCACTCGACATCCGCAGCCTGGAATCTACGATACTGCGGGTACTATAGGTGGAGGAATAGGATACACTGGCGGAGTTCAAGGACATACATGTAAGTATCTGCATCTATTTGAAATCGGTGAAAATGGATTGGTGTAACAAAATATTTGATCTACAGCTGGAACGAGCTACGATCAGAAATCCGACAAGCCCACTGTCAACTGCATCACCAATTGCGTCAGTACAGCACAACTGCCAGGACAAATCTACACAACAGGCGGTTATGGAGGATCTAGTGGCGTATTCCAAGGACAGAAGGGAGTTACAACAACGTACTTCGGTAGCACCGGTAGTCAAGGATACGATCAAGGTATTGTCGGTACTGGGACCACAGTTTACCAAGGAGGCAGTGGATATACCGGCGGCTATTATGGTCCTGGAAGCACTGGTGGCTTAAACCTAACTTACCACGTGTTTGGCAAGCCGTCCGTTGATTACGGAGTCACAGGAACGCCAGGAACTATTTTAACGGGAAGCAACATCCCAGGATCGGTTATCACGGGAGACTCTTCTCCAGGAACCGTGATCGCCTACGGAGAAACTCCTGGCACAATCATTTCAGGATCCGTGGATCAAGGTACCATAGTGACTGGAGGTGTCCAACCGGGATACGTCAAAACTAGTACAGGCACACCTGGCTACGTAGTCGGTGGAGGAGTCAAGACAGTATACACTGGCCCTGGTGGTCCTGGAACTGCGGTGTATGGAACCCCTGGACCTGGTGTCGTCTTGACAGGAACACAAGCGCCTGGAACTATCTTGAAAGGACAACCTACCCCTGGAATAGTCTTTACAGGACAAACGGCACCAGGAATCGTTTTGACAGGACAAACCGCTCCTGGAGTGTCCCTTCACGGACCAGTTGGCTCCACTGGAATTCATGTTATCACTGACTCAGGGTATCCTCAAGGTGGCGTCGGCGTGACCCCTGCTTATGGAACAAAGATTGGAGCGAGCCCCGGCCAGGACACTGGTTACAAGACTAACGAGTACCACGACAACGGAGGTCGTGGCACCATCAAGTTCAACAACGGCGACGTAACCACCAAGTACACAGAGAATGACATTCCAGACTACAGACCTGGCGGAAGTGAAATTCCTCCCGACACTCTTATTCCTGGATACAACGTTGCCGGATCTGGTCAACCAGTCTCGACTGGCTTCACCAAAACAGGGCCCACCAAAACAGGAATCACGACTGCCTCGTTAGGCGGTCGCGGTAGTTATGTTATCAGCGCTGGGCAGACACGTCCCACGCTTAAACCCGACGCCATAGGCGAGAAAGCGTTCGATGGTAACGTGGCAGGCTTCACGAAATCGTCCACTGAGAGCAGCATCTTCCAATCGACTCAACCTCTCGACGTGAACTATGTGGACACCTCTAAGATTGCATCAGTACCAACGAAAACAGGTTACACGTACCCTAGACCGAGCATTCCCTTCGAAACGGGTGTCAAGAAGCCTGTAGGTTCGTTGACAGAAAGTGGTGTCCTGACAGGAACAACACCAACACCGTTCTTGAACGTTGAAGTATACAATTCGCCTAAATTATTCGGACCTACTGTGACACCTGAAGTCGGTACTTACACCAGCTCTACTGAAGGCTACTATCCAGGAAAGGTTCCAAGTGGGTTCACACGTGGACCAACACCCACGTCTACGCCTATCCTTTACACAACTGGTTCTGTAGACGGCTACAAATCTACTCTCTTCGAGGCTGCTAAAATGCCTGTGACGCCCACGGTTCGACCGCTGTTCGACAATGGCTACCAGACTGTTGTATCCTCGACACCAATTCCTATTACCGTGACCAAGAATCAATTCGAAGGTGGCATTCAAACTGGATCTGTATCTAGCCAGACCCAGTTTGATTATGGCAGAAGAACCTCGCAACAAGGTGGATTAGTGCAAAATGGTTATGTCTCGAGCACCACGCAGCCGTCTGTCTTCGGTGTGCCGTCCACGTACAGCATCTCCAAGCCGAGACCTTTTGGACCAGCCGCTACTGTCACTGAGCAGCCAGAGGTAGGACTCGTTCTTTTCTATGCGAATTATGCACTTGTTCCTGGAATTTACTATTCAACATTACCTTCCAGATCAACTATGTGTCCTCCACGTCTTCGGGTTCGGGATATTTCGACTCGAAGAGCTCATTCGGCCACAGGGTGACTTCTTCCGATATTTCGAAACCTCAGGTATGCTTCGCGTTTCACCCTCGAGCGATTTAAGTTCATTTTAGACTCAGGGTTGCAAAACTTCCGATCTAAGTCATCGTCGCTCACTAAAATGTTAAGGTAAAAAACCAGGCCCGAAAGTACCTAAAAATGTTTGAATCCACAGACTCAGTACCTGCCAAGCCAGCCTACCTCACCAGCATTTGGCGTGACCTACACAAGGCCTTTCCCCGACATCGGCTACCAACAGTCGACACCAATCCCGCCAACAGGTTCTCCAACAAACGTGGAGATTTCCAGAAACGAAGTTGACAAGCTGGTCACGAATTACAGAGGCACTACCAAGTACGTTCCCAGCCAGTACGACATCTACAATCAAGGAGTATCTGGCGCGGATGTCTCTAGGACACAAGCATCGTCAGGACTGAGTTACGGCTCAACTCCGACTCTATTCGGAAAGACGCAGTCGTCGTTCTCCGGTGGATACCCGAGGCCTACTTCAGTCGTTTCGTACGAGACCACTGCCAAGACCACTGCCGTTGGAAAGGCAAAGGTGATCGTGAAGTGGAGCGACTTGCATCCTCTTCTTCTGGGCAAGCTGGGCGCCGAGTGCACCTGCAGAGGCGATCCTTTCGCAAATCTGAGAGGTCCAGGTTCTAGGCTGATCGACTCGTCCAAAGGAAAAGTAGATCTGGGCAATTACGATGACTCCGAGATCTACGTAGATCTTGATCGGGATGGTTCCTACGAGGACGGTGACTACGACACGACTCACCCAGGACCCGTCAAGCTCTTGCCTCTGGAAACTCCTGCTCCCACTGAAACTGCCACGATCCAAGAGCCACCTTCTTCAACCTATCTGCCAAGCGTCAAATCGTCCTTCAACGTAGGTCTTCGTGGCAGTGTCCCACCAAGCCCCTCCTTAAGCCACGGATTCAGTGCTAACTTCAGATCCGGAAAGAGCTTGAGCAATGCTGGTCCCGCTACTAATTCCGTTGGAAAGGGTGCGTCCTTCGATCGATACGGACCCGGAGGACTCCGAGACTCCGAAGAGGTCCTCGAGGGTGCTACCAACTGCGCCAGACCTGGACTCTTCAGACACCCGAACTTCTGCAACAAGTTCTACGCTTGCCACTGGGACGAGTGGAAGAAGAGGTTCACGCTTCACGTGTTCAACTGTCCCGTGCATCTCACGTTCGATAATGGCGTCAGCGCCTGCAATTGGCCCAGCATGGGACCTGCCTGCCAAGACGATAACCTCTTAGTTTAGATGATTCGCTGTCGGTAGATAGCTGATCGATCTCCTCATTACGGCATTTTTTACTCTTATCAGCACTTTCTTTGAATACTCTGAGTTCGATTGCACTTTGTGGGTGTCGAAGATCTTCGCGTAAACCGTTCAGAAACGTGAGAATCTTTGTCCTCGTGAACCTCTGGTGACTACGTTTTAGACGCGGAGAGAATGATCTATTTTCTTTTTTTATTCTTCGTTGATCGTTTTGAGCTAGAAATGCAAGTGATTTTGGAACACGTGTTTTCGAAGCGACAAGGCAAGTCGGAAATCTTTGCATGCCTGAGCAGATAACAATTGTGATACAGTTCGCATATTAGAAAGTCGACTACATCTTTCAGATTTTCAGTTGATAGTTAAGAGGAGAAACCATGTCCTCGGAACCACTGGCGACGTACTCGTTTTGCAAACGTACTTTCAACTTATCTACCGATCGGTTTGACTTTGAAATGCAACCGGTACATCCGGTATATCTAGAACACGATTAGCGATATTTTTGTAGCAACGTATCGAGCCTGAAGTTTGAGTAGACTTGAGCAAACGAGACAATCGCGATGCTGTTCGAATATTGGAAAGTCGTCTTCCAAATTATTACTTGTTTCTTCGTGAGAAGAAGTATCAACCGTACGGAACAATCTATTTTTAAATTATTCATCGATCTTCGAACTTAACATTGCAATTTGTATTGCATAATTAACTGAAACCTCACGCGTTCTTCCTTATTATATAATTTACAACTTTCAATTTCTGGCTCACATTACGTGAATTCGACGATTTGCCACGATCCATTGAATTCATCGATTCGATTAACATCGGCTTACGATTTCTGGCCCATATCGTTGAATTCATTTCATTGCACGCATTATGTTCTGCTAAATGCCGATAGGATAAGTGTGCCAGAATGGAATCGAAGGCCCGCTTACCGCGCACCATAATTTACGGCACAGATAAAATCCTCTAGCAGAGGTTCGCGTTGGCAATGAATCTCGATTACCGCGAGATCGACCAGGGAAATGGATATTTGCATAAAGGTCGGCAGCCTGGCGACAGAACAACGAAGCGTGAGGTAACGTTTAATTATAACGAGGTAACGGTTTACGCTTAATTTCTTCGCATACCTCCTGGACCCGCGGAACGGGTCGAACAAAGTGCTTCCCGTAGGTGACGAGGATCAAGACAAAGAAGAAGAAAGATCCAAGGCGATCGAGGTACGGGAACGCGAAAGCACACTGTCCAAGAGGTGAAAGTCAAGCTGTGCTCACCGATCCAAATCGCAGGAACTCGATGGCCTGCGCGATTCGATGTCGCCAGGAAACATTGTAAATAACGTCCCTTGTTCTTGCAAAATTTGTAAATACCGACATTCGAATATCTTCAAAACAAAGTCCTTCGAAGTACGAATCAATCGAAAAAAATCGTAGAAGGAGGAAAATCTCGATGAAAAAAAGAAAAAAACAAAAACAAAATCGTGAAAATTTAATTTCTTAAGCTAATCTGGTTGCGATGACGTTAATTCGGCGACAGAATTAATGAACGAATGGATCTGCTCTTTCGACCGAAATTCCCATGATCGTTGTCCGAGCCATTGGCGATGTTTGTACATATTTATAGAGCGGAATGTGCGTCGGTATCGATAACGCAGTTTGCATAACCAATGTATCCCCTGAATTCGTCTACTTTCTTTTCCGGGTTTCTCGCATATCCGCCGCACGCGGGCGGCTCGTTTTAACGTTCTTCACTCAAGCTTGCCTTTTAGTTCGTGTTCATCTTTGTTCCTATCAATCCACCACTGTCCCGCTTCTATTCCCCGACGCAATGATTATTTATTTACGCCGCTTATTGCTAGTACCGCGTTGGACGTGCCGTTCTACGGTGACGATTATTAGTCGTTTCTTTATCGACGAACACCCTTTTTCTCGTCCGTGAATACGTAAGTTTCTCTTGCACAACTTAGGGTAGGAGCTTCGATAATCGTGCCATTTTATCGCGGTTACTTAATAATGTAATGTTACGAATTTAGAATAAAAGTGGAACTGTACAAAAAATGATCTGCGACGATGCGTTTTCTTTTCCGTTGTTTCCGCGGTGCCGAGGTCTCGTCGCCGGGGTTGGACGAAACAGTCGACGGGTTCTGCCGATTTATCATAGCGCCGCAGGCTAAACTTTCGTTTGTTCCATATTGCCGAGGCGTGGTGACTTTCCATTTAATGATGAAGACGTTCACTTAATCCCCATTGCTACTTCACCTCGGAGAAATTGCTAATGAGAACAGCTGACAAATCGGTCGTGAAAACGGTAAATTGAATGTTGCTTGGTAGTAGGTGGACGTCGTCGATCCATTCATCTTCTGAATCAATTTTCGTATCATTTCATCGGAGATGGGATACTGGGAACATTGTGCCGTTCTTACGATCTCGAAGTCCCGGTAAATAATAATTTGCGTAATCGATTTACGAGAAGATTGTGATGACGTCGACGTACTCTTATTTAACTAATGATGATTCAATTGAGTTTGTGTTTGGACGACTTTAGACACATTTTAATCGGCACGATTTCACGACAAAATTGAATCATAACCACATTTAATTTTCATCTAATTATACTCTATAAATAATTTGATTTTCTCAAAAAGATTTGTTAAGATTTTAGTTTGCGACGAAGTAGAGACTCCTTAGAAAAAGGAATAAAAAGAAAAAGAATAATCATTCCAGGTTTCTAGACTTAACAAAGAGTTTCAGATTCGACTTTCGCGAATCAAAATATCAGGTTTCGACTCATTTCTACATTCTATTCAATAAATTCTGATCATCGTACTGCATCAGTTGATAAGATAGTGGATTTTTTAAGGATGTTGGTAAGCGCAGATGTTATTAGATAATATATTCGCACTGCACGATAATTATATAAGGGTAAGCTCTTAAAAATCGTTTTAATTGATATCTGTGTGAAGTTACGCTATACAACGTCGTTTTTAAATAGTTGCGATCTTTTGAACTATTCAGTAACACCAACGGATGATGAAATGCGTTAAACAATTTCGCACTGCATAAGTCGAAAGTTGATTCAAATGTGCTACTATAACTGACTTTTAAAGTGCATTCACGCAAATCGCGACTAATTGGCCTTGCACGTGTTGAATTCAATTTATAAACGCAGAATATCAATTATCACTAGACTGTTTTCCTTATTGAACATAGAAATGACTGAATAGTGATAATAAATCGTAGAAAGTGCTATTCCAAAGAGCAGAAACGTCATGGGAAACAATTTCTAGTGGTGACTATTGCTGCAGCAACAGCTACGATCGCACTTAACCGCATTATTTTCACCATTCACTGATACCGCGAACGATTTCAACCAGCAAAGAAACTTGCATGCCGATTTTTACGAAAGAAATGTCGATGGTTATTCCTTCAAAATATTTAGAGCAAAAATTAACGTACCGTAACTGTTCGTTCTCTCTTATCGTTTTGCATGTAAGTATTAAAATGCCTAGCCAACCTGTGAACAAGTATTTTCTCCTTGGATAACTTCTAGCATTTTTTACATAGTTATTGTTCTCATTGTGACACTAAATTCTGTTTAAGTATTATTCGTTTAAAGACGTTCCATTACCGCAGAGGGAAATGGAGGAAGGAAAAGGAACCAAAATGGAGGTCACTGGAAGTAAACTCTGTCTCCGGTGACCCACTGGTACATTTTCATAAGAAAACGATAGAGAACAAGCCTGGATAACATACAACACAGCTACTTTTTACTTTGAAATAACATTATCCGAATATTTTTTACATTGAGCTTCGTAAACGATAACTTTTTTTTGGTCTAATTTAGAAAAGAGTTAATAGTGATCTGAATCATTCATTGACGATTTTAATCTATGACATTGAAACAGAAGTATCAAACTTAATTGCATTTTATCATTTATTTGCATGTTTCATATTTGTACTTTCAAAAATAGTGACATAAAAGACTCAGACTAGCAATCTACCAGTTTTTGCTTTACACTTTATGTCAAAATAATACACGAAGCAATTA